ATGTTAAGGACGTTCATTGGCATTGGATTCCGTGATGTCAATTCGATGAAATTTTTTGGGGAAATACGCGATGACATAAACTTGCAAAAAAGCGATAAAAAAGTGGAGGTCACCGGCTTCATTTTAGAGATAATTCTTGCACAAAATCACCAAAATTGTCAAAGAAAAGCGCGCGAAAAGGGGTCGATGCCGTCTACCAAAAAACTTCCCGAAAAATATAAAACACATATCAATTGATCCAAATTTTTCCACAAAAGCTGAGGGCGATAATTGTTAATATTGTTTACGAGACTTTGAAACATTACATGATGTGATTTTTGATTTCTTTAGGACTTTTGTTCGTGTAAGGCCGCCACATTCGACGTCAAGAATAGGTGTCATTTCCAGCTAAAACTGCTATATTTCAGAAACCTCTGTTGTCGTTTTTTCCGCTTTCACATATGTTATATTTTTTCCAAGTAGCCTTCTTTTAAGATAAATAGAAATTGGGGTTACCGGGTTCGTTGTCGAAATATTTCGTGTCGAAATCTTAGATTTTGCAGGCCATCTTGAATTGCGAGAGACTTTTTTCTGCCAATCTACGACTTTTTAGAGCATTTTCAACACTTTTTCGCCTCATCAATTCTTTAGCAGTAGTAAATCTCTCATTTTTTGAACACGAAGACATTTTTCATTCAAGTAGAAGTTCAGAAAAGTACGTACAAAACCTCATAAACACATAACAAGAGCGGTCGCCATCTTTGTTTTGCGTGATGCAATTTCGTGACAACTTCCGGTTTGGGCGTGCGCAGAAAGCGTGCGCAGTAGCAATGCCCTCGAACGTCCTTAATACAAAAGAAACTTTGTTTCAAAATAGAGTTTATCCACATTTTATTTCAAAAATGTGTTACCCACAGATGGATACATAATCAGTGTGAAAACCAAGACATTCGTACATCGAGAACTTGCTATGCCGCAGAACAATAGAGAGTTCCCTAGTTCTTTATCGCATTGTTACTTAATGTGCTCATGGAATGTTTGTTTCATTATTTTGCTTGCAATGACGTTTCCATTACTTTGCAGGGAAAAGAGAAACTTCGTTCAATACTCAAGAATCATATTGTTTCCAAGAAGGTACTGTGAAAAAAGCATTTTGAATCTGTAATGAATGGATTGGTAATTTTTTTTAACTTTCACTCTCCTCAGTTTTATATTACAGATTTGATATCACTGTCAAGACTGAAATCAGATGAAGGCGAATCAAACACTATCAAACGAAGTAAAAACGTAAGTTTACATGAAACTCCAGTTGTACATAATGTTAATGTATATTTAATTGAACTCCAAGTCTCAAACTAGATTGTCACACTGTGTTTGCCCTGCATTTCACTTAAATTTCACTTTGAAGAAGTGACATTTTTTGAATTTAGGTCGTGTGTATGTACATGAGATTCTGTGGGTTGGCTCTATAGGTTGTAGAAATGATTGAAACTATCGGGCAAACTAGCAACGTCGGTGTTTCTAAAGAAACAGTTGTGCAAAACGACAGGAGCCCATTACTCCTGAAAACGATAAATTTCAACACCGTAAAAAAATAGGTGAAACAACTAACTGACGTTTCGGACGTTAATCCTTCGTTGGGTAAACCTGGTTAGGAGTTAGTAGATAGCTGAGACTCCGACGAAGGATTAACGTCCGAAACGTCAGTAAGTCACTTCTCCTACTTTTTTACGCTGTTTGATTTATCTCTTTATCTTTTTACACAACTGATAGCTGAGACAAACTTTTTTACTTTACTTTCTTTTGAGGATTTAATTATTTCATAAAAGCATTTATGGCTCTGCTACCTCGGGGTCCCTATCTCACRTAAGCAGGGCCTTTCTATAGTACTATTTGAAGCATATTCCAGTATATTAGGCTAGCTTCCAAAAACTATAATTGTCACATTATTCAACGTTTATTTTCCAAGGGAGCAATTATTATTGGCGACAATGCACAAATAACGCAATCCAACATACTTGCCAARAATGGGATTCTTCACAAGATTAATAACCTGTTGATTCCTGATGCTGTACTGCCATTGGTTCATAATTTTGCTAACAAGACAATGAACATTAGTGCAAGGGTGAGTAATTMCTTGTCAATAGACTTCTGAAGCTTTTACGTCACTAATTTATTTTGCAATGCATTGTGGTATCGTTTTCTAGAGAAAGCAAAAGAAATCCGCCATGTTTTGTCCCAAACATATCCTATAATGCATTGCGTATATGGTACAGGGCACTCGGGGTAATCGCATTGCGCACGCTCGGGAGACGTGCGGTAACCATGCAAGATTTTTGATGCCGATGTTTTGAGTCTTGCRCAAACTCGCAAAATTTTAGAAAAATAGTGAAAAGTTGAGGCATTAACTATCGCAGTGGCATGATTATTTTATATATTGTTAAAACACCCTACAAAAGTATATACAAAAAYGTTTTTGTAGTAACGAAGTCTTCACGATTAACCAGTGTTCTCATACAGTCTATTATAGTAATACAATATTTATTGATATTTTAAGGGTGTTTGCTATCGATGCGATACCATGCCATCGTTTCCAAACAAGGGATGCCCGCCTACCTACAAACCATCAGTAAGTACAGCAACTTTCAACTGTTGAAAGATGAGAATTATTATTATTACTAAATTGTAATTATTGTGTCATATCTAGTTTATAATTGTTTACCCTAGGGTGGCTTCCAATCATGCGGTTACAAGCTCTTAACAAGTCTTGGRCAGTTTACATTTCGTGGTTGTCAAATGAAATACTGCCTTAARGCCAAACAGGTTAAAATCTAAAATGCATTATTAGATAGGGCCGAGTATTTAAGTCAAAGGAGGGAGAATGGAGGGAGAATTTTTCCGTCACTAGTCCCTAGCGGCTAAGATGATTGTTACAAAGGAATCCCAAAGGAGAAAAAAAAAAGAGCTGCCTAGGGAGGAGGCTAGAGCTATCCTCAATTCGATTTTTGTAAAGTGAAAACAGAAATGACCTTCATTCCCCAGTCAAGAACTTAAAATATTTATTAACGTTATATCATTTCTTCTATCTTATTCTCAATTGTTTGTTTGTTCTTTATTATTGACTAAGTATTATAATTTTGTCCAATAGATCGCTGAATGCAATAGTGGTTACTATGGCAGCAGTTGTAGGCCATGTCCTGGCCAGATAGAGAAACCATGCAATCTTCATGGGAAAGTAAGCATCAAAC